GAGAGCCCTGATGCAATTTTTATTGGGCGTCATCTGCGAAGGCGACGCGCGTGCGCGAAATCTAGTGTGCATTCGATATCGCAACAATACAAATACACTAGACGTCTGAAAGAACTTGAGCAGCGTTGACAGAAGAGCGTATCCCAAAAAACTAGTGCCAAGACAGGCAGAAGACCATTGAAAGCTCGTAAAAAAAACGCGTTGTCTTTCTGGATAGTGGGCTCGTAAGCTTCGTATATTTATATTGACCGAAGCGTATAAAACGGCAAGCTTATATCCGGCCGCGTCGCATGGGCGTTTGGAAAAAAAATTTTTTCCCCTTTATTTTGCCGTCGATGCCGCGCGTTTTACGAGTAATTCCCGCCTGTCGAAAGGCTTGTGATTGAGACGCCACTGGCGTTTCATTATCTTTTTAGGCGATTCCGTTTGCTTGATACTCGCATCGGAATAGGGCATATTGCAAGTTTTGAGGGAATTGGCTATTTCGGTCGGTAGTTTGCGACTGAAAATACGGCGCTATGAGTTGAGAATTTTTGGGTTGTAAAGTTATGTTTTACGAGTATACACAATGTGCGCGCGCCTTCGGCTGCCTCTCGCGATGCTCCTTTTATCGACCGAAGCAACAGATAATAATCTAAAAAAACTCGTCTTTCGTGTTTACGCTATGATTAAACGAATGAACAGACAAGCATCGGCATTACTTTTGAACCCAGCGGTCCTCTGGCAAATTGATAAAAGGGGTAAATTGCGCGATCCAGTCAGAGCGCATCGCCAGGCATTATTCGCACGCTGATAAAAATTTGGTGCAACGCGATCGCTCAGCTGAATAATGGGAAAATTCACGAGCCATTTCTCGTTCAGCCTCGACGACGCAAGAATGCGAGGAATCGCGAGCGGAAGTCAAGTATACGTACATCGCGCTCGCCTACCAGCTTTTCAAACACAATCGAGTCGCACGGCCCGTTAGATATAAAGGCTGCGCAATTAATAATTGCGCTGCACTTCTCGCGGCAAGCACCGCCGAGAGAGCTAGATCCCGAAAAATTAACCGCTACGATGTTGTACGAGCGCATAAAAAGAGTCGGCGAAACTTTTATCAATGGATCTTGTGAAATGCCTTTCGTGCGATTCTTCTGCATTAGCTTTACCGACTTGTACACTGAAAACTTCTTTTACAACTTTTATAACTTCTTCATCTTTTACTTGTGTCAAATACCAATAGCACGGATTTCCAAATGCCACGATTGAACTAACAATATTTCTACTATCAAAACTGCCTGTTTTGTATTTTATAAACTTTTATAACGCACAATACTTTCGTAATGATTCGTAGATTCAAGTCATCTATCATTTACATTATCTGTTTACATTATCAACTTTTTCAAACATCAAATATAAAATGATTTAAATGTCGTTGCAATTCTTTATAAAAATTGTTTAAGATAAGACAAAATTCTGAATTCGTATTAATTGATTTATTTCTCACATCACGTGAATTAATTGATAAAGAAGCTTTTGAAAATATCTTTTTAATACTCCAACATTAGTGAAATTTTTTTTTACTGCATGATTTGTACGCGAACGTCTGAGAAAAATAAAAAAAAAATTAAACATTATCTCCCTGTGATTACTAACCTTTCATAAAGCGACAGCACATTATTGAAAAATACAAAGTGTACGCTCGGCTGTTTTTATTCTGTTGCTCGTCTCGCATCGATTAGATTGAAAATTCCTCCCCTCGAATGACGGGGGCCGTGGCGAAAATTACAGGTTGCGCGGCTGTTTCGCGCCTGTAAGTCGACGATGCGCAGGTAGCCCGCCGCGTCCGCCGTCAGTCTGCCCTAATTTGACAGCTCTCTCATACACACACGTACGAAGAGAGAGAGAGAGAGAGAGAGAGAGAGAGAACAGGTGGCGACGACTCCTCGGGATTATCGGTTGAATACAGTGCCGAGTCATCGGATCTTTTCTGCTTTCCTTCTTCCCTTCTTTCATTTTTTACGTGTTTTTCTACCTTTGGACTTTTATTATGGGCTTTAAATGATGAATAATGGCGTTTATTATTGTCCGAGAGAAAATTGACCAAGTGATTTTTGCTTTTTTTCTTTTTTGGTGGGCTCGGCTGTTCGCACCACGAAGAATCCTCGTCGGCTTGGCTGATTGATAGCCTTGAAAATATTGTTTTACTTTTGTATACGGATCTTGTGACATATCACGGCGAGAAATCAATTTTCAATTTTTTCTTTATTCAATATTAAGATATATTTGAAAACTCGTTCAACGCAGTGTCAACTTTGAAAGTAAAAGTTCGGACAAAAAATTTGCATTTTTATCGCGCGACGACACCCGAAAAACTCCTTTCTCGCCCAATAAAAACTCTTGTCTGACGCGACAAGAGCAGTGCAGCGAGCGATTTTACTGCGATGTGCTTGTGCGCCTTGCCGGCGCTAGGTACCATGCCACGTAGCCAACATACTCGTAATAATTCATGCATTATGAATGCAACGCAGCCGAGCGATAAGTATACAAGCCCCTCTCTTTCTCTCTTTCGTTTTTTTCTTTTCTTTTCCAGGCAACTAGTTGATGTACGAGCGTTTAAAAAAGTCCTTCCTACGATTACATTTATCATGCGCGCACCGCTTACAGGAGTGAGATGTTATGCGGTGCTTGATTTCGAATCTTGAGAAAAAAAAAATTGGAATGACCGGGGTCTAGATCGGAAAAGATACAATTGCAACTTGCTTTCTGTGTGTAGTACAAGTCGATCTGCGAAAGACTCGTATATAGAAGTTGCATTTTGATTTGCAGTTGAATTTTCCGCTTCGACAGGTGGGCGAATTTCTTTTCCTTCTGTGTCCTTGTTAGCATCCATCTTGAGTACATTCGAATCTAAAGATCGAACCTAAAAGTCATGTAATTCGACAATTACATGGCAGATTTCATAGCGTCGAATTTGTGTGAACTTCATTATCGCATAATTTATAGCTGATACTTTCGTAACTGTTTGGACGCAGGACGTAACAATTGACGAATGCTGCGTGAAATGGTCGTTACTCACCGCGATCCACGCGATCTCGTTGACAGTTTGCGTCGCTACAGTGATACCAATGTCAAACGAACCAAGAGAAGCCACACAATAGCAAAGGGACGTATGCGTGGTCAAAAGGAAAACTCAATGTCATCACACTTGAAGATAAATTCCTATTGCCGGGCTCAAGTGACATCTTCCTTTCTCTCGAATCGGGGACTCAAGGTCGTGTGCACCTGTCCAAAAAAAACTGGTTCTCGATCGCGAATCGGCACCTGCTCTTACTCGCGCGAGCGCGCATTGCGTAACACATTAAGATGCGAGATAGCCGCAACAAATATCACATTTTATTATATCCAACTCTTATCGGCGACTCATCTCACCTCGCGCGCGCGACACCAGGAATTTAACGTGCGCGCCGTGGGAAGTCGAAATGTATGTGTATATACATGAAACGCGGACTTCTTCTCGGGTGCGCGCGCGTTCTCACTGGACCTTTCGCTATATAATGTGTATTTTTTTCGGAGAGAGAATCGTTTTGAACGTTACACCGCGCTGGCGGCATATTATAGTGTTGGAAGCCTTGGGATTTGTCGAAATGCGGCTGCTCTGGGAATGTCACAGATTTTTTTTCCCGTTTCATTCCGATGTTGACGCGGATAAATGGAATACAAAAGTGATAATTGAAAATTCGAGTGGCGTTTTGATTCTACGTAAACTTTAATGAAACCCTCTTTTTGCTTGCTAGAGAGTTTTGCTTTCATTCGCCAGGCCCTTCCTGTGAATCAGAATACTGAGGCAACGGAGGCATGACGAGAACTCATTATTTCTAGTTCTGGTCACTCGAATAATGAATTTCATACATACCAATTGTCGGATATAACAATGCAGCTGATTGTTGCTTCGACAGACAACAAATCAAGCTTCGGCAAATCTACATAGACATCCATCGTGAAACCGCAAAACAACTCATCAAACGCTCTTGTGGGTTATTTAAACTCGACGATGGTCATCGTGCGGTGCGAGTTATTTTCGGGCCCCCGACTCTCAAGTGCAAGATCTCTTGGTTTCGATAAAACGGCAACGAGAAGCCAAGATGCATTTCAATGGCTCTTTGCATTTCCCGGAAGCCTTTTCTTTAAAATTTGCAAGTGTCTCAAAATGAGTTGCCTTTTCATCTATCTTTTCATATATATTAATAGTCTGATTATTTCAAGGAAATCACGGGCACACTTTCTTTTCAATTTTCATTTCATATCGAACATTTCAAACCAAGTCCAGATAAAAAACATACGTAGCATTAGATACATATTATAGTTATGTTTGATCTTTAGGTGAAAATGATGTTATGTGTGTATAAATATAAAAAATGTTTTTATTGAAATTTAGAATTCGTTTGATACGATGATACGAACCATTAGAGTACAAGCAGACTCAAAATCCAGCTGTTGCGCCTCTCTGCGTTTGAATCTGTCGTATCAATATTTTTTAAATCTAAATTCAAGGTTCGCAGCGATGATCCCTCAAGTGAAAGACAAAAAAGAATAAAAAACAACGTAGACATATTCAAACGTTATAATTTATACCATTAATTAAATAAAAGTTTTCAAAATGTTTACAGAGAAGGATATTGTATTAATATATTACCCGATTTCAATTTTATCAACCGTAGCTTGATTTATTGGTCTTTGATTTTGCCTTTTGATATTTTGTAGAAAATAAGTTTTAATACAAAGTAGATTTAATAAATTAATTAGAAACTTAAAATGGATGTTTGAAAAATTCAGGATAGGTCAGAACGTTTAAATAAATCCTAAGAAGAAATTATTTTTTCGAGAAACCTAGTCATGGTATTCGTTTATTTAAAAAATGTTGTAACTTATTTCAATAAGATTATTCTATGTTAACTAAAAATTTGCTATTTAGGTCTAACATTTGTTTCACATAAATTTAATACGCATAATTAACTAATTTAAAATCCAACTGCAGCACCTCCTCTCCTGTAATCAGCATTGGCGACTATGACTTCATTTTCACGCGCAATTGCTGTTACCGCAGTACCGAGGATATCATTAATACGATTTTTATGGCCAAGCTTTCGTAGATAATCCAGTATATCTTCAGGAAAGTCAGGCTCGCTGTGGATATACATGGGGAATAACTGAAATAAAGAAATCAATATGTTTTTTGTTATATGATTTACCATCTCATTTCAAAAAAAGTGGACATCACACTTACTTGGTGATGAAGTCGGTATGCATCAACAGCTTCTTTTAAATTGTAATCATTCCAGAAATACAAAGACATAACATTAGCAATAGTAGTAGGAATTTTAGTACCCCCAGAACTTCCAATTACAAATATAACTTCACCATTCTGATTTACCTAAGCCAGGATGAGAAATTAGAGTTAATTTGATTTATTTATTTATATTTATTATTCATTTGACTTTCTTCGTGATTGATACTCACAACTATAGTCGGCGACGTAGAACTGAGAGGCCTTTTATAAGCTTGAATGAAATTTTTAGGCGAAGGAGGCACGCTGTAAACATTGGTGATACCAGGGTTACCAAAATCGTCCATTTGATCGTTAAAAATTACTCCGGTTGATCTTGATCGTACTTGAGATCCAAAACTACAAAAGGTAATTGTTATATTTTTCAACAAATATAATTTGATGACATTCTTTATTAATTAACTCACTCTTGATTGATCGTTGAAGTGACAGATACAGCAGAACCGTCTGGTGCTAGAATAGATATGTGAGCAGTACCAGCATCGTTTTTTGTAAATGTTGCTGCTCCATAATATTTGGGATCCTCAGAAGTCTTTCCTTTTTTTATTAAAGATATTACTCGGTCAATGTAAGCCTGTGACGTTAAATTCGCCATCACTTCGTCTAAAAGTTAATAGATTTGTTGATTCGCATTCGGTTATGGGAGAGTAATGATTAAAATGTTACCTAAATTAACAAAGTCGGGGTCTGCAAGTTCTGCTCTTTTTGCATAGGCAAATTTGAAAGTTTCGAGAAACCGTTGCCACAAAATTTTATCATTCTCAGCTGGCACAAGACCTTTTAAGACTTTGAGCATAAATGTTAGCAGAACACCTGATCCCGAAGGTGGCGAAGTGTATATCGTCATATTATCTATTTGAGCTCGATGGGGTACAGTCCACTTAACTCTTTAAAATGAAATTAAAAAATTAATTTTGTATACCATTCTGTTTCATTGATTTGAACGTACTTATAATTTACAAAATCTTCTTCTGTAATGATGCCTCCGCGTTTCTTGATATCAGCAACAAAATGTTTGGTGAGTTCACCTCTGTAGAAAAGATCGACAGGTTGCGACGCGTCAGCCAGTTTTCTCAGAGTTTTCCCTAGTTTGAGACGTTTGATTTTATCACCTTTCTACAAAGAAAAATTATTTTTCCAAACCACTTGTATATGATAATTATATATTGAAATAAACATTCTTACGACATATAATTCATTAGTTTTCGGATCAATTAGAAATTCTGACAAACTAGGTTCAGCTTTAATTTCCTTTTCAACGAATTTCAAACGAAGATCATTATAATCATTACTGATTACACCATTTTCACATAATTCTATAGAAGGTTCGAACAGGTCCTTCCAAGGAATTCGTCCAAATCTTTTGTGTGCCTCCCAGTAACCCATAACCTCTCCTGGAACCGCTATCGCTAACCCTCCTAAAATAGTATCAATATTTTTATTTTCATCTCTTCTATATAAAAAAAAAGAAATAACGAACCAGCAAATGATAAGCTTGCATTTCCACGGAACATTGTAGCGTTCGCTAAACCAGGCGCTATTTCTTTTGCATTCAGAAATACAGCTTCACCATTCGAAGCATCGTAAATTGTCATGAGAAATCCTCCTCCAATGCCTAAGCTGAATATAAAAACTTTTAAGTTTACCAAAATATCAAATGGGAAGTAGAATTTAATACTGATTGAATTCATTCAAATTATGTAACTTTCTCTATATTGAAATATACATCAATCGCATTCTATCCTGATTAATAAAAGCTCACGTTAAAATGTAAAAAAAAATATCCTTTATAACTAGTCACAAAGTTTATTAATCTATTTAAATGACTTTTCATTAGTTCATCAGACTTCAAAATTATAATTAATAACTTATAATAAATAACAAAATATTCTTTTTGAGTGCTATACATAATGGTTAACTAGTAATGATGTAATAAATATTTTTAATTACCTGATTGGTGATGCTACACCTTCACAAATCAATACGGCAATCGCTGCATCGACTGCAGAACCATTTTTGTTTTTCAGAAAGTCCAGTCCAATATCAGCGCATTCTGGTACATTTGAAACTACAGCGGCCTAACGAAATGATTATTAGAATTTTTGTTTGTAGATAATATTCAATTTCATAACGTTATCGTCGTTACATAATTATTTTTTAATATAGTTTGATATAATATATCACATAATTCATTATTAATCAAAATGAAATTACTGGTACCTTTTGAAAAGATTTAAGAGGCGAATCACTTATAAATCCAAAACTGTGAGATTTGGAATCGTCTTGTGCGCAGACTGTTGTAGTTATCAACAGCAAAAGTTTAATAATGTTTCTAAAAGTTTATTTGAATTAGTATATGGACATTCAAAATTTATCGGTAATTTCTCCGAAATTATTATTACTCTTTTTGAACAATACATTTGGATATTTAAGTTATTGTAATTCAGAACTTCGGTAATCTTTAGTTTATTATAAAACAAGAATGTACATAAACAAACCTGTTCATTATGACAGCAATTTATAGTCTCAAATAATTCCTCGTTAAAATTAAAAATGACATCTAGTTTTAGGACTTTATCTAATTTCGTACCAAGTAGCTTTTCAAAAATTTTCAGTCGCAGCTCTGTAATTGTAAATATGTTAAAATAATAATATGAATAACAAATGAAGAAAAATGTTTTACTGAGAAATAACAAGAAAAAGCATTTCTTTTTTTTCCCAGACATCGAAAGTGAACCAATTCAAGTCATTGACTAAACTTGACACCACCTAATTACATTAATTTACTTTAAAAAATTTCAACTTATTGAAAGTGATATTCCATACATCCAGTCATCTTATAAATATTGAAAATTAACATTAAAAAAATGCCTTACAAATAATCAAATGACGTAACTTAAATATATCATACACAATAAATTGTATTATTACTTAAAATGAAGTTTCACGTCTTCCGAAATTTGGAACTTTACAATATTACATCTTCATTAGATTTTTTAAAACACACGTTCGTAGCTTTCTCTAACAAAACTATCAATTAAGTAGAACTTTTTCTAAAATATTTTTAGCGAAGAATTCTACTCATAAAATCCATAATCTACATTATTCAAGCTATAAATATTTACAGTTTAATATTACCACATTACTCATTGTCTTTTAGTGCAAATAAGAATATTTTTTACAAGCTCTATGGAAAAAGAGTTGTTCATACTCAGCAGACAAAACTAATTATTTTACAAACAACGAAGAGTTACCTACTAACGTGTTTCCCATTGCACTGAGATTATAAAGTGTTTTCTTCGTCGTCACTTCATATAATACGGGCTATATCGTAGTTAATCATTATTTAACGACGTCTATCTTTTCAAGCTTATAACTAACCGGTGTTAAATTAGGTGAGATCCTAGCTTCAGCAGTTTTCTCAATAAAAAAATTTTCAATTGCTTTTATTCATCTTTTATAAGAATTTTATTTTGACAATAAACATTAGATTTAATTATTCAGTTATTTCAAGTTGAAACCAGAAATATTATTAACACAAATACAATACTACCAAAAAATAAAGTATCATAATAGATGGAAGCGATTTCTTGTATATTTTTATGCAAAAAAAAACAATATCGAAAGTCAATGTCAATCAATCAACAATGTAAATCGGATGCCTAAACACGTGACACTTTCATTGTAAGTTTGAATTTTTAAATATATTGTAGTACGATTCGAAAAGAAGTTGAGAGCTAACAATAGTCATTGATTAATAATTCACTTGTAGTCGAAAATCAATACTGACGAATCAACTTTCGTCAAAAATATTTTCACTGACAAAATAATTTAATTTGTTCAAAGATAGTAAAAATCTTGGCACGTAGAATTTAGAGAAAAGACAAAAGTAAATTTGGTTGAATATAGTAAATCTATAGTATTTATTTAAAATCGGTAAATACTTACGCAAAAAATTGGTTCCTTTACCGGGGTCCTTGGAACCTGAAGGTCGCCTTCCCGAGCAAGAACAAGGCCCACTTGTTGGCTGTTTACGCGCACACGAGTCGAGCAAGACTGAGCCACAAATTGAAAGACTCGATTCAATAAGGAGATTAACTTTCAAAAACAAGAAATCTCATTGGGATAATACCTCTGATCCAACAAAGATATAGACGCCTATAGAAGGACAGAGCTAGAAGGCCAGAACTGTAGCGTGTCCCCACCACCGAATACATATAATAAATAGGGTATAGGGCGCACTAGCGCCTCGCGGTGGCTGGGTTGTACAATATATAAGGAATAGGCGGTTACCTAACCACTTACTAAGGCCCCTATATAAAACCTGTTTTTTTATAAGCGTCTGTTTTCGTCGTCTGACAAGGAGAGTGTCAACTCTTTAGTTCGTTGGTTTATACCTTTCTACCTCTGGGAAAGCTTTTTCCACATAAAAATATGTGAGAAGCTGCGTCTATTCATTCTAACGCTCAACATTTCCATAACCATAGACTATTACCGTTAAATCTGTAAATATATGGTTTTCTTACGATTAAAACCACTTCTAATTTAAGCAAGGCTGCAATCAGATCCTTTCGACGGAATAAAAAATAATTATTAAAAAAATTACACCGATCAAAAATTACGCTGATTTGAAATTAAACCTACGAACATCAATGTTTAGAGGAAAAAATAACTTTAACATATGAAATTGCGAGGATGATATCGGTAGCTAGCTATTTTCTAACAATTCATTGAAATGCATTTTACCGAAAAAAAATGATTAATTAGAATATTAAATTTTATTCTTACGGAAATTTTAACCAGGCTGATCTTGGTTAAAAGATATCCTTTTAAGCGAAAGGATTTAATAACAGCTTTCATTTAGTGAAATTATGAAAACTCGACATTGCTTATATTATAAGCTATTTCTAATATAAAGGAGTCATACATTTTCATATTTGGCAAAAGTAGTCTATATCTATAGAAATATTGAATGTTAGAATGTAAGATTCGTCAAAGTTGTAGGCAAATCGATGAACGAAAGATATGACATTTCTTTTACGAAGGTTCGTAAGTTGTCGAAGATTCTTATATAAAATGCTGATGGGTTGCTGTTTTTAATAAATGCATATAAGAATCATAAGGAATCAAATAGTTGAATACTGGATTGGTAACAGTCGAGAGATAAAGCTTTTTCTGTAATCTCGCTTTTAATATTATATTATATTATACATCCGACGCGACTTCTAAGTTTCCCAGTTTTACGATGCTGTAGTTTAAAATAAATATAGATCTAAGAATATTGACAAAATTATTTTTTATTAAATATTTTATAAAGTAGATACATTTTACCTTTATGATTATTGTCAAAATTAGTTAATATTTTCATAAAAAATATTATAATACATTTTTTTGTATTTAATATGCATTAAAATATAATCTTTTCAATTTCTGATTTCACTATTATATTATAAAACTGTCTATTATCAAACAAATTAGAAGTATTCTGTTAAAATCCAGTTTCATTCTATATTCAAATATATTTAAAAAATATTAATTTATTGAAAACACTGGAAAATAATGTAAAACCGGTTTCGAAGTAACGTCGCAAAAAGGTGTTTTTGTACTTGTGACGTCAAGAGTAGTCTGACTCGTATAAAAATTATTCAATGGAAAAATAAATATTGTCTTTTCACACGTAGGTGTATGTGTAAATAATCAAGCCTACTTAATAATTTTGTTTGAAAAGTGTATATTCTCTTTGTTCAATTTAACATCATTCCAGATAAACACATTCATAAAATCTTACCTTTCTTCTCAAAGTAAAAAAATAATACTTCCTCAGAAATGCATATTGTATAACTTATTCAGATACCAGCATAGTTTTCTTACCGACTATAATTAGCATAAGTAGTTACCAACCCATTTTTATAGGAAGTGGAGTTATTGCCACTACCAGTAAAATATAGGTAACTATGACCATTTAGTGATTTGTGATGTCTCTTGTTTCACGAGGGATAAATGAATGATTTAAATTAATTATATAATTTACATATAACTTATATATATATATATATATATATATAAAAGAATAAATAAATATAAAACTTCAAAATAATGGGCAACAAAAATAACAGAAAAACGAAACTAAAAAATAGATTAAAAAAATCCCTAACTACAGAAATGGAATATAATTGAAAATTAAATTGTAAACAATTAAAACAGTTCATTGAAAATTTATATAGTACATTAGAAGTCCATGAGGATATACATATAGATAATATAGTTTTAGATATAAGGAGTTACATTTGCAAATGGCACATGTAACTTTTATCACAGATCTCATAGAAGAATATCAACATATAATTAAAAAAAAATACAAACAAAAACAACTCAAGATTGGAACATAATTACCAAAATAACAAATGGTATAATAAAAGTACAAACAAATCAAATGTGGAATATCCAGCCAAAAGACAATATTACAAAAAACTTAGACGATTGCAAAAAACCAAATTAAATCGACTTTAAACATTTTAGTTTTTAGTTTGTATTCCAGACCAGCGAACAGGACATCAATTTCCTCTGCTGGGTTGCAATATTATTTGTAACGTACTTGTATATTTATTGCTATTTTGTAATATATATATAGTACTCTGGTTAATAATAAATTTAAAAAATTCTACAATTTATTGTTTGTAAAAAAAAATTATCGTCAAAATTTGTTTGACGATGATGTTTGATTGATGGTGTAGTGATATTCAGTTCTAACAACTTAATCTATCGTTTTTATCTACCTGAAGAAATATGTAGAAAGTGAACCAGGCTAATTCTGACAGAGCGCGACAGCTGAACATACAGAGTAGCCAAAACAATTCACAAGCCTATTTCCTAATGTGTCATGATTTTACTTTTTCATTCATTATTTTACTCCCATTTACCTACTCACTTATCGCATTTGCGCCTATTTAATAACTTAATCTAAAATAAGGTGAAAAATGATGATATCTTATTATTTATACTTATGCTAATAGTTGGTATTATTGAATTGGAAAGTCTATTGTTGGTTTTGGTGAAAACATTCGGTAATGGTTGTACCGGAAAGCACTGATAATATCGAAACTACTAAACTGATCTGTTTCAACATTGAAAATTATTTCTGTTGAAAGCAAGCTTATTTGGATACCAAAGATACAAACACGGCATAAAACAATTATTACAGTTCCTTATGATTTATTCATAAGTCTAACTCTTACACTTGACTGGTTGACAACGTAAATGATGTAGCAGAATCATTCGATGTCAAGAAATATGGGCAGTGCTAGTATCGTTTTTATTTACCGTCAAAACTCTATAATATTTTAAGTTATTATATGATCAGTTTCCTGATACCTTAAACATAATACAGCGATGAATCAATTGACAACAAGCCCATCTAAAATTTCACAAAAGATCAAATAGTTTTTTTATATATATAATTATATACAAAATTTTATATCCATAAAATTGAAATCGGAAAGTCCAGTC